GTGTGTATATGTGTGTGTGGTGTGTATGTGTGTGTGTGTGGTGTGTGTGTGGTGTGTATATGTGTGTGTGGTGTGTATGTGTGTGTGTGTGGTGTGTGTGGTGTGTATGTGTGTGGTGTGTATGTGTGTGGTGTGTGTGTGTGTGGTGTGTATGTGTGTGTGTGGTGTGTATATGTGTGTGTGTGGTGTGTGTGTGGTGTGTATATGTGTGTGTGTGGTGTGTATGTGTGTGTAGTGTGTGTGTGGTGTGTGTGGATGTGTGTGTGTGTGTGTGTGGTGTGTGGGTGTGTGTGTGCGCGCGCCAGGGAGAAAGAAATGTCCTTGGGGGCTTGCAGAGCTAGCGGCTTGCAGCTCGCTGCGTGCGTCGGCAAGCCCTTTACGGGGAGCACGGGACAGTCACTTTGTTCCCGAGAGAAAGCCAGAGCGCCAGAGTAGGTAGGGAGAGAGGATATGAGCTCAAAGACTCGATGTTGTTGTTTTTTTTTTTCTTTCTTTCTTCTTCTTTTTAGGTCACGTTGAACCGAGTTTTAGCAAACTCTGCCCGTCACACCGCCGCCTCTTCCCATTACCACCCCCCTCCCCAGGCTCATCTCCCGTAATTAGCTTACCAGCCCCAGCGGAGTCAGCCCCAGCGCCGGGAAGGGAGCCCGTGCTCCTCCCCTTACCAAAGCAGCTCCTGAAATTTCCGCCGTGCAAATCCCCGAGCTCTCGGTGACCCAGGCGCTCCCACCCGCTCCACCAGGCGGAGCCGAGTTTCCTTTCCAGCCACGAAAGGAGGCATCGTCACTTCTGCCCTGCTGGTCCGGGCAGGGCAGGCTAGACCAGACCAGAGTGCGGTGGGTGTGGGGGGAAATGAGACTTAAGAGGTTGAGTAAGGAAGCCTGAAGGGAGTCACGTTTTATGTGAAACGAAGTCAGCCTCCCAGAAAGGAAAGCCTCCCCTTTGTGGTTGAATGTAGAAGGTCAGCCTCTAGCTTCCGGCTCCAACCTTAGGCAACCAGTGGGGGCTGTCATCCGAGATCATCCAGCGCTAAGCTCCCATTTTACATATTAGGAAATTGAGGCCCAAGGATATTAAGCGACTTAGTTCACTTAGGTAACAATCAATCAATCAATCAGTACACAAAGCATTTAAGGTAATACTTTTAAGGAACCAAGCAAAAACAGCACCTACTAGGTGCCAGGCACTGTGCTAAAGCACTGGAGATACAAAAAGATAACGAGCTTAACAATCTAATGGGGGGGTGCAGACAACATGCAAATTATATATGTATGTAATGTGTATTATAATGTAATGTATATATTCTATACAATGCACATATTATATACGATTTATATCTTTTATAGATAAATGTATGTCATATAATATATATATTATATATACACACATATATACACATATCTATTAAACTATGTATAGTATAAATAGGAAATAAAAGAGAAAAGGCACTGGGATTAAGAAAGGTTAGGGAAGGCTTCTTGTAGAACATGAAATTTTAGTTGGGACTTAAAGGAAGTCAGAGGGGTCAGTAGTTGGACGGGAGGAAGGAGAGATTTCCAGGCATGGGGGACAGCCAGAGAAAATGCCTCAAGTCAAGAAATGGTGTGTCTTGTTCATGGAACAGACTAGAGGTCATTGTCACTGGACTAAGGGGTAAGAAGACTGGAAAAGTAGGAGGACCTGGGTTAGGAAGGGCTTTGAATGGCAAACAGAGCATTTTGTATTAGCTCCTTATTGAGTAGGGAACTGACAGGATCAGACCTGAGTTTTAGGAAAAATCACTTTAGTGGCTGAATGATTTGGGATGGGGAGAGACTTCAGGCAAGCAGACCCAGCAGCAGCTATTACAGTAGTCCAGGGGTGAGGTAATGACACTGGGGACAGGGTCGGAGGGGAGAAGGAGGCATATTGGAGAGATGGTCCAGAGATGAATTGACAATAGCTTGGATACTGGTGGGTGTGTGTGTGTGTGTGAAAGACAGTAAGAAGTCCAGGATAACTCCTAGGGTGGGAGCCTGAAGAGCTGGGAGGATGGTGGTGCCCTCTGCACTAATATGGAAGGTAGGAGGGGGAGAAGCTTTAGGGGGGAAGATAATGAATTCTGTTTTGGATATGTTGAGTTTAAGATGTCTGCTGGACATCCAGTTCGAGATGTGTGAAAGGCAGCTGGAAATGGGAGATTCGAGTCAGCAGAGAGGTCAGGGCAGGATAGGTAGATTTGAGAAAGTAGCACAGCCCTAGACCTAGAATGGTTGACCTTTTTAAATGGAAACTACCAGTGCATTATCCAATGCGTGAGTCTTTTGGAAGAGCCTACTATGTGCCAGGCACGAAGAACCAGGGATTCAAAGGAAAAGCACAAATAGTCTCTGTCTTCAAAGATCTTACATTCTAATGAGGGAGGGGTGGGGAATGGATAAGTATTAAGTTCCTACTACGTGCCAGACACTGTGCTAAGGGCTGGGGATCCAAAGAAAGGTAAGGTTCTCATCCGAGACGATGGGAGGTGGCATGGGAGGTTTGAGGAGATACAAAAAGGTTTGGAAGAGTCACCGTGGAGAGTGGGATAGTGAGTAAATCGTTGTTGCGTCCAACTCTTTGTGACTCCATTTTGGGGATTTCTTGGCGAAGATACAGGAGTGGTTTGCCATTTCCTTTTTCAGCTCACTTTACAGATGAGGAAACTGAGGCAAACAGGGTTAAGTGACTTACCCAGGGTCACCCAGCAGGTCTGAAATCAGATTTGAACTTAGCAAAATGAGTCTTCCTGTCTCCAGGCCTGCCACTCTATGCACTATGGCTCCACCTAGCTGCCCTAGTAAGTAGATCAGGGAATGCCTTGTAACAGTGGTCCCCCTAGCCAGCTTAGTTCTGTGATTTTTCTCCATCTTCATTCAGCAGTGCTTGTGTAGGAGCAAAAGCAGTGGATGGTGGGAATGAGCCAAGGCTGAGGCTTTGCTGAGTAAGTACAGAGGAGATGAAACATAGCCCTCGAGGAGAAGGTGCCAGCCACTAGAGGGGCCAGGAAGGGCTTCTTGTAGCAAGTGGCTCAGTCTTGAAGAAATCTGAAATGGAGCATAGTATGTGAGAAACAGTAATAAGGCCAGCTGAATTGGATTGCAGGGTGGGTGCAGAAGAATGTCATTTAAGGAAACTGGAAAGGTTAAAGGTTGTCGAGGGGTTTAAATATCAAACAGAAGTGTTCATAACTGATCCTGGCACTACTAGGGAGCCATTGCAGTTTATTGAGGAGAGTGACATAGTCAGCCATGGATTTGAGTATAATTATTCTGCAAACTGTTTAGAAGATAGATTGGAGTGAGGCATGAGGCGGGAAGACAAATTGGGAGGCTCTTGCAGTAGTCATGATGAGAAGAGATGAGAGCCTGATCCAGGGTGTTGAAGAGAAGGGGAGAAAAATGCAGAATTTGAATGGTGAAATGAACCCCAGCAGCTTTCCATGCCAACCAACACATAAAATAATTCTCCACCATAATGTTTCTGACAAGTGGCCACTGACCCTGCGAGAAGAGGGAAGCGTCTCCTGAGGGAGCTCATTCCACTCGTGGACAGCTGGGATTCTTCAGAGGTTGTTTGGGACATCGAGTCTAAAGCCGGACACCGCAGCTCCCACTCTAGAGTCATTGGTGGTGCTACACTTTGGGGTTGAACAGAATTAAGTTCAAGAGATTCAAAATGAATGCTGTTCTCTATTTAAGAGTGAACTCTGCCAAGGAAAAAGAGCAGCATGCTATACTGCTTTCTGATTTCACCATTATTCACAATAGCTGAATCTCCAAAATTCCCGTAGGGGAAATGGATCGTTTCTGTTTGGTGGGACCAAGAAAGAAACGATGACTAAGGTGGTGCAGAAATCATAATGATGAAGTCTGAGACGTGAAAGCAGAGGCTCCAATGGAGAACTCTGTGCAGACTGGGGGTAAAACTCCATCACCCAGATGGTAGCCTTCCATGGAGAGAGATTGATGGATTTGAACTCCACTTTTCAGATAAGCAATCTAGACCTGGAAAGGGCCCAACCCTTCATTTGATGAATGAAGAGACCAAGTCCTAAGGAGGTTAGGAGAAGTGTCCAGGGTCACAGACAGGATTGAAACCCAAGGCCTTGGCCTCCTCAGTCAGCTCTCTTTCTGCTATACCATATTGCCTCTTAGCTCAGAGGGTTGCCATCTCAATTCTGCCCATTACTACTACCTCTGGGACTTGGAGCAAATCAATTCACTTCCCTGGGACTCAGTTTCTTCATTTATCAAAAGAGGTGCAGTGGTTGACCTCAGAGATATCTTTTCCTTCTAAATCTAAGATCCTCCCCTCCCCCTGTAAAGACTAACCAATAGTGTTTTACATATGGTCACATGGTAAGACAGTTTATCATTTTAACCAAGAAGAGCATCTATGGATATTTTATGCTATATTCCCAAAGGGAGAGAGAAAAGTCAAATCATGGTTGCCTAGGCAATGCCATTATTTTTTTGTTTTCCAAAGACATGGAACCTATCATTGACATTTTCAGTCTAGGTGCAATTATTAATGGGTCAACCCCTGGCCCTGGTCCAACTGCTGAAATGTTCCTGCCCTCAGAGACAGGGTGAGGGGAGCAAGCCATGAACACTTTGGGGGATGAGAGCAAGAAAAGACCTGTGTTGGATTTTGAAAATCAGTCTCTAGGCATGGTTTTAAATATGGTGAATGGTGGGGGCAGCTAGGTGGTGGCACAATGGATAGAGAACCGGCCCTGGAGTCAGGAGGACCTGAGTTCAAATCTGGTCTCGGATCAGACACTTGACACTTACTAGCTGTGTGACCTGGGCAAGCCACTTAACCCCAATTGCCTCAGCAAAAAAAAAAATATGGTAAATGGCAAAATACTTCCCGAAAAATTCCCAGGGACCTTGCAGGACACAGTTACTGAAGAGATGGAAGGGAATCAGCAGGCATCCCAGTGAGTCCTAGCACAGTTAGGTAGGAAATGGCAAAAATTGGAGAGATGCAGTTTCTTCATATGACCTGACTTCCCCCCCACCCCTGAACCCTTCTTAAATTTCAGACTGTCCTTCCAGTGTAAACCTACTGATTCTTAGTCAATCAATGACCTTTTCATTAAGTGCCTACTGTTTTCCAGGCATTCTGCTAGGTACTGGAAAGAAAGACAAAAAGTACAATGGTCCCTGTGCTCAAAGAGCTTGAAATCTAAAAACTCAATACTGCTATTGAGGGGCTTTTGCCCAGAACACCACAAGGGCCCTTTTCTGAATGAGAGGAAGGTAGGTATATGGATTAGTGGAAGTGGAGGACCAGAAGAGGGAGGGGAAAGGGTGGTCACTAGAGAACCAAAGCAAACCTTAGAGGTCCCCTACTTCAATTCTCTCACATTACTGATGAAGAAACTGAGGGCAAGAGGAAATAGAGTGACCTACCCAAGATCCCAAAGGTAGTAAGCATCTGAGGCAGGATTCGAATCCAGGTGCTCTGACTTCACAGTCAATGCTCTTTTCCTGGTACCCTAATGCCTCCTACAGTCTTTCTTTGCTCTTTCTCTGTTCCAGAGTCAGAGAGTCAATACACATTTATTAGGTGCCTACTGGGTGCTGAAGATATAAAGAAAGCATATGATAGTGTCTGCCCTCAAGGAATTTACAATCTAATGGAGGGAGATAATACATCCACAGAAACTAAAATCTTTCTTTTCTGAATAGCAGCCAGGGTGGGAGACGATCTGAGGAGGTGTGAATTATAGAGTTGACTTTATCTTACAGAAGGATGAGTTTCTGAATATCATGAAAGGGTGGGAAATG